GTTTCTGATTAATATTCAACAACTTATGAACATTGCGATTTTTCACCTTTCATGCTCACTTTCTATTACTCTGATTTCCTTATTTCTCATTATTTTGCCGGAAGAGCGAATGTGAATGTGAGTAAAAACAACAATAGACCCATCATTATCAACAAGTGTCAGATGGTACGATCAACAGGATAACTTATCAAAAAAGCTCACTTATCCCTTCTTAGTTCAACCTTGAACATCTATGTTGAATTTTTGAGAAACTAGTTCATACAGTGAATGAAGGGATCCCAATAAATCGAGAACTCACCAGCATATTCACCGCATTCAGCCTTACAAGCATTTTCGGTATCATAGCGATTCGCATTACCCTCACATCCACCGTAATGGAAACGATTACAAGTGCCATCGGCTTTGTTGTAGTACCATTTGGTAACGAAACGATCACAAGGACCCGTCTCTCTGGGTTGTTCACATGGATGGATATTCTCTTGCTCTTGTTGATAGGGTGGATACTGGTATTGATCAGTTCGAAGAATCTCTAAATCATCGTTTCAAATAACAACAACTCGTAATATTTCATCATTCACTTTAGAAAAGTTTCACTTTTGAAATAATCGCATAACACTTTGCTATTTTACGGTATTCCAATGAGAACATTTTGAATGCTTGATTCTACATGCGATTTGGTTGTAACTTGAACCCTTGTTCAGCTTATAGTTGGAGTTGTACTAATCCTCTTAGACAGTGGCTCTCACATTCGGATGCTCCGTTATCCCTTTCGATGATCTGGCATGCCTCCGTTACCCCCCATCCACCCTGATACAAGAACACCGTGGTGGTATTCGACATGGTTAGGCCTTCCCTTAGACCGTTGTGTTCCTCATTATTGTGATCGATTATGATCGCATGAAAAGCTGTTGTATATGACATGCTCATACACTTCATAATGATTTAGATGAATTCTCATTCTTTTCGGACATGTTGTATTCGCTCTCATCGCTATCACATGCGAATACCGTTCTATTGATTAGTTTTTCTCATTCACTTCATCTCATTTGACTTTACCGTTCAAACAAACTTCTCAATCTGTAGTATATACTATTTACTGGATGCGTTGACGATTGTTGACAACCGAAATCAACAATGCAGCGATCGAATTGATTTGCTGAACAACGTTCGACAGTCAAATGAACAATTATAGAGTGTGTTTGAT